CGTTTCCTTAGGTATTGCTTTTTGAGATTACCTAATTATTATAATGCAATCATCAATGCTCCAATCACAATTGGAGCGATGATGATTTCATTTAAATTTTCATGAATTTTCGAAAAGCGATGCCTATTGAAATGGGAAAAGTCGTAATCATGGAGGTCGTTCAACAGCATAAAAAAATATAATACTTTCAGCGACACACACCTTACTCGTGATCTAGCAATGTTTGCCTACTTTTCTAGTAAAAAGAATGGAAGAAACTTGGTTGGTGAATGTGGTTTTTACTGTTACAACATAATTAAGATGTCAACGATCAAAAAAGTTATTTTTATTTAGGGTATAAAAAACCTAATTGGTTACTCGGTTGTCGGCCGGCTGATGCTTCACTTTTTCATTTTTCTTATGATAAGACCAAATTGTACAAAAGTAACTACATTTTGGATAACTATCACAAAAGTCACTATATTTTAGTTTTTTTTTTTCATTTCTGACACCCAATGCCACATCATCATGTTACGTCAGCAACACGTTACCAACGAGTAATTGGGTTAACTGCTTAAGTTGTCAACATTGCAAAAATTATAAAACTTATGATGAAACACAATATAATGAAATGTAAAAATCAATCTTTTCTGAAAACTTAATGACTTTTGTGCAATTTAATTACCCTTGAAACATACCAATTTATATCACTGATAAATAGCTTTGTATTGGAATGATGTTTCTATAATTGGGTAGATTATCAAAAACTCAAAATTTAATGTCATAAAAAGAAATGAAGTAGGATGTGTAATAAACAAATAAATGAAAAAGGCGTTGCTATTTCTTGCATTTGCCCCTAAGTAAAACTTCAAATAATGATTTTGTTAGAATGAAGATGGAGGGTGGGGATTTTATATAGAAGGACACAGCACCATGATTGGATCTGCTTTAAGCTATGTAGCCCTACGGTTATTAGGAGAAGGACCCGATGATGGGAATGGTGCAGTGAGCCGAGCAAGGGAGTGGATACTCGAACATGGCGGTGCAATGTCGATTCCTTCTTGGGGCAAAACTTATCTATCGGTAAAAAAATTCACAAACTCACATCTTAATTTGAAACATGCATGTGCATGTGCCTTTATGTATGAGGCACATTGTGGCTCATACATGTATACATATTGTGAATGTCAAATATGTCTTGATACAATATCATATGTATCACACACTATGTGCCTGATACAACCTTGATACTTCATGCATCAGGCACGTTGTTGATACAGTATGTATCAACTAATTTTTGTACCTTCATGAGCAGGTGCTTGGGGTGTATGAATGGGATGGATGCAATCCACTTCCGCCAGAATTTTGGCTTTTCCCAGAAACTTTACCATATCATCCAGGTATATACATGTCCTTTTATATATATATATATATATATATATATATATATATATAGTCGCTGGATAAATTTTATTTAACGAACACCTAAAACTTGTGTATGGAAGAGTATAAAAGATACCAAACTTTGTACAATAGTAAAATTTATTTATTTCTAATCTTAATTTCGTGGGCTATTATCGTATTATGCAAATGAAATTGTGAACAAAGTATGTTGAATACAGAAGGAAAAATAAAAATTTAGTTGATCTGACTATTTTTGTTACTTGTGATGTAGCAAAAATGTGGTGTTATTGTCGGACAACTTATATGCCCATGTCATACTTGTATGGGAGAAAATTCCATGGTCCAATCACTGATCTTGTTTTGCAACTACGACAAGAAATTCATCCAATCCCATATCATAACATAAATTGGAATAAACAACGCCACAACTGTTGCAAGGTTCTTCTTACAATCATTTATTTTTATCAGCATGCTTATAAAGGGTAATAATAGTAGTTGTGTGAGATCTTGAAAAAATTTGTGTGATTTCAATTGGATGCAGGAAGATCTCTACTACCCTCATTCAACAGTTCAAGATTTGTTGTGGGATAGTCTTAACTACTTCAGCGAGCCACTTCTTAAGTATTGGCCTTTTAAGAAATTAAGAGAAAAAGGTCTCAAAAGAGCAGTTGAACTAATGCGATATAGTGCTGAAGAGAGTAGATATATCACCATCGGATGTGTTGAAAAGGTAATCAAGCTTTACGCATGAACCTAACTAAAAAGGTTGTACTGAGTTTGTCATGCATTGGACTGAGACTGAGATTGATGTCAATGGGACAAAAATAGCAACTTTTTGTACCACACGAAAAGGTATAACAAGGTGAGAGAGGAATTGCTCTCGATCACTCGCCTATGAAAAAGACATAAATGCCCTCATTGTCCTCATCATCCAAAATAGCCCTACAAAGTTTGTCCAGTCCACTCCTCTCTCATGTAACAAATGTAGCCTTAGGCTACATTTGTTACACGGGAAAATGCGAGAGTGGACCGGACTGGACAAGCTTTGTAGGGATATTTCGGATGATGAGGATGACAAGGGCATTTACGTCTTTTTCACAGTCGAGAGATCGAGAGTGATTCCCTCTCCCACCTTGTTCTATATTTTCGGATGGGACAAAAAATTGCAAATTTTGTCTCATTGACATCGGTCACGGTCCCGGTCCAATGCATACCAAACGCAGTACAACCTGTTCTGTCATGTCATGTGTAACAAACAGATCATAGTGGTAATCCTTTAATTTATTTATTTTATTATTTTATTTTTTTTTGGGATGCAGAGCTTGCAAATGATGTGTTGGTGGGCAGAGAATCCAAACGGGGATGAATTCAAGCATCATCTTGCTAGGGTTCCGGATTACTTATGGCTAGCAGAAGATGGAATGAAGATGCAAAGTTTCGGGAGCCAAGTATGGGATTGTACACTTGCAACTCAAGCAATAATCGCTAGTGATATGGTTGAAGAATATGGGGATTCCCTTAAAAAAGCCCATTTTTATATAAAAGAATCCCAAATTAAACAAAACCCATCTGGAGATTTTAGTAAAATGTGTCGACAGTTTACTAAAGGAGCATGGACTTTCTCTGACCAAGATCAAGGTTGGGTTGTCTCAGATTGCACAGCTGAAGCACTTAAGGTATTATTCTTTTTCTTTTACATATTCGGGAAATAATTATGCTTATTAAAAATTATAAAATTAAATTTTTTTTGTAGTGTCTTTTATTACTATCCCAAATGCCAGAGGAAATTTCAGGAGAAAAGGCTGATAATGAAAGATTATATGAGGCTGTTAATGTCCTTCTTTATTTACAAAGTCCTATAAGTGGAGGTTTTGCTATTTGGGAGCCACCTGTCCCTCAACCCTATTTACAGGTAAATTCAAAACTGAAAATGTCAACTTTTTAAATATAAAAATGTAAAATATCAATTTTTTACACCTACTTTTTCTTCAGATGTTGAATCCTTCAGAGATTTTTGCAGACATTGTTGTAGAGAAAGAGTAAGTCCCTTACGAATTATTAACATATGATTATTAATAATATATAATATAATATTATTTCTTATTTGGGTGATTTAATTTAATTAGGCATGTTGAGTGCACATCATCAATTATTCAAGCCCTTTTAGCCTTCAAAAGATTGCACCCAGGGCACAGGGAGAAAGAAATTGAAATTTCTGTGGCAAAAGCAGTTGGTTTTTTGGAGGAAAAACAATGGCATGATGGTTCATGGTAAGATAAATTCAAGAAATAGAAATTTACTTTCATTTATTTGTGTATTACTATTGTATTTACCACATTGTACTCTAAAAAAACCACCAATTTTAGCATGGTGTTTTCAAGTTTTTTTTCTTTATTACAACATTATACTTTGAGAAATCTATGTATTGTTTTGTATTTATGAAAATCTATGAAATTTGATAGGTATGGTTATTGGGGAATATGTTTCCTATATGGCACATTTTTTACAATAGGAGGCTTAATTTCAGCTGGAAAAACATATAACAACAGTGAATCAGTTCGTAAAGCAGTAAATTTTTTCCTTTCAACACAAAATGAAGAGGGTGGATGGGGAGAAAGCATAGAGTCTTGCCCTAGTGAAGTATACACACCATTGGATGGAAATCGAACAAATTTAGTTCAAACATCATGGGCTATGCTTGGCCTTATGTTATGTGGACAGGTATTTTTCATTATTTGTTGTTGTTGATTGAGTCAGATCTAACTGAGTCAGGGGTTGTTAATTGAGTCAGATCTAACTGAGTCAGACCAAACCCCAGAGGTTATAAGACCGAATCAGAGACTTCTAATTGTGGTAATAAACAGTCTGAGGGGTCGTTTGATAGTTGCTGACCGAGTTAGAACTTCTGACTGAGTCCAGACTGAAACCATGTTGTTTGATTATATCTCTACCTGACTGAAACCATGTTGTTTGATTATATCTCTGTCTGACCGAGTCAGATCCAGCCTCTTACCAGTCCCAGTAAAATGCATATCAAACAGACCCTAAGCTTATTCCAAGTATTAATTATTAATATTCATGGCTAATATATATTTATATTGATATTCGTAGGCTGAAAGAGATCCAACGCCCTTGCATAAAGCAGCAAAGATATTGATTAATGCACAAATGGATAATGGAGATTTTCCTCAACAGGTAACTTTTATATTTCCTATTTTACCCTTTTGGCCAATCATTTCTCTTAACATGTGACATGAACTTTGTAGGAGATTACTGGAGTCTACATGAAGAATTGCATGCTGCATTATGCAGAGTACAGGAACATTTTCCCACTTTGGGCACTTGGGGAATATCGCAAACGTGTTTGGGTCAATTAAAATCCATAAAATAAAGTGAAAAAATATATACAGATCATAAGCCGGATTCTATGTATATTAAACTCATGTGTCAATAAAATGACATAATCATAATTCATAAATGAATATAAATATATATGAACATTTTTTTGGTTTAGGCTCAGTTATCAATGCAATATAAAGTGCCTACAAGTTCATATTATTGTGTATAAGGAAGAAATATTGATCAATTAAAAAAAAAAAGTAATCTTTATACTTGCATACAATCGTTTGTTAGTTTTGATATTCGTCTATTCTATATCCATTGTTTTGAAAATATCCTATCTTTCAAGATTCCTCCATTCTTTTTTGTGAAATAAGCAAACTCTTTAGCTGCTTTTGCAACTGTGCCCTTGTGTTGTAATTAGAAGCCAAATTTCTATCTAAAGACGCTTTTGTAGCTTCAAGTTCAGATTTTCTCATTTCGGCTGCAGCTAAGTCAGGATTATTTGAGTACCCAGCGCTGTGTTGAAGTTGGATGAAACTCGATTGGAGCTGATAGAATGATCAATAGAATGCAAATAATTTTTAAAGTTCATTTATTCCTAATCCAGTTTGATTCTCAATTGGCATTCTAGAAATTGAAAAGATGAACGAAATGGAGAGGGTGATCAACTTGAGTTGTTTCAAAAATTCTTATATACAAATGCATAACATGGAACAACAGTTAATAAGAGAGCGAGAAAGAAAGATTGCATATGCGATAATGGAAAATTATGAACTGGTATAATGATCTTACCTCATTCACACAATTCCTCAATTCATCCACACGCATTTGGGATTCAGTAGCAAAAACCTCAGTTCGAGCCCTAAAGTTGTCAATCTCACGAGCTTTCAACGCATAATACTTGTCCTTTTCCTTATCTAACCCTTCCAGATTTTCCACTTCACTTTTCAAAAGCCTAATTTGAGGACAAAACTGTCAGCAGTACGAAACAGAGAAGATAAAAACGGGAATTCGATGATAGGAACCTGAATTGCTGGATTTGATTAAGATAGATTGAATCAAGGCGATCGAGTTGGGATTTGAGGGAAGAAATGATGAATTGTTGCGAGGCAATTTTGTGATCGAGCTTGAAGCACCTCTGTTCAATGTATCTGATACCAGAAAGCTTCGAAGCTAGAGCTTGAGATTTATTTTGCTGGAGTTCTTTCTCGGCCTACCAATGATCTCGATCAAATATTTGCAGCATAGAATGTGATTCTGGTTGTGTGATA